CCCCTTCCAATGCCTTTATTTGAATAGGTTCCCATATCTTCTGATCTTTCTTCCAAACAATGTTTTAAAAACCTGGGGATTTTTATAAAACATTTACGGTACATTTACGGTGTAAGTATCAGGTTATTTGTCCTGTGTGTTGTGTCTGTGCGTAACACGCAGTATAAATTTTTTGTTTTGCCCCTGGGCTACTTTAAATTTGTATGCTTCAGAATAATGCTTGCTTTAATTTTGTTAAGAGTAAAGGTCATGTCATAATAATTTTAAATGATTGCTTTCGCAACTTAAGGATTAATTAATTAAATAAGTAGAAACATTTTTTATTATTTAACGTCTCTTATATTTTCAATATAATTGTATAACACAAAATAAATTTATTAATGTAAAATTTAAATTATATATGACTTAGGGGTTTCCCTTCCCAACTGTAAGCTTCCAGGAATTTTTAAAAATTTCTAATTATGTGTGATAATATTTACATTTATCGGATACTATCTGCACATCGTTGCACAGGTTTGACAGATTTAAATGCCATGAAAGGTATAAAATATCAGTTTATTATAAAGAAATTTTCTGCATAATGGATGGATTAAAAGTAAAATTTAAAAAAGAAAAAAGTGAAACTGTCTATATTCTAATAATAGTGCAATTTCTGATGTTAAGAATAATAATGCAACTAATACCACTTCTGATGTTTAAGAAATAAAATTTAAAAGAAATTTTTTTAATCAATATTTTCTTTTCGTTATACGGGGCGTTTTTTTAACGTTTTGTGCGTTACCTTTATTTATTAAATACCACGTTCATAGCACTTATACCAAAAATCATTCAGCAGCAATACCATAAAATTCCCTGCCAATGCACTTTAAGTTTTCGCAATATTGGATAAAAAATAATTTAAAGAAGCGTATCTTTTAGAATTTGCAGAATACCCCTGAGCAAATTTGATCTTTCACAGTAAATTACTAAAGGACTCCACCTAATAAACAGTTCTGGTTAAAAGGCTTGTTCTTAGTTTGACACTAAAAATAGAGGTAGAAGATACAAAAATAAATTAATTATGCCATTTTCTACAAAACAGGTGAAAATTGCAACAATACCCTTTCTTTACAGCATAAAACGTAAAGGTTGACTCAACGTATGTTATAACTAAATGAGCTTTATCTGTATACAATGGTTCGATTGTTCTTTACTTAGAGTGTACAATAAAATGAACAAAATGAGTTATTTATTTTCTTGATTTTAGCAGTAATTTAAAGATCATTGTGCAGAACTCATGCAACGTGAAATTATGATGCGAAGTGGAAAATGTGCGTTAAGCAAAAAATATCACATATGAAGCAGTTTCGAATTGTAGGATATTCAAAGCTGACGTTCAACTTTGTTATAAGATGTCCTGTCTCTTTTTCAATGAAAGGTGGGATCAATCTAGTTTCGAACAAAAAGACTTTTGAACGCCAAAATTTTTAGTTTTTTCTACTTTTAGCGGGGTCTACAGGTGCATTCTGTTTGCTCCATTTCGTTTTGACCTAAAATGGATGAAATATGATGCCAGAACTCTACAAGAAGCATCGTATTATTTTAATCATCTGAAATTTCTGTTTCGTTTTGAACCCCAACATATTTTTGTAAATGCCTTTTTGAGCCAAATATGCATACAGGACATAATATCATGTTTAGTTTTAATGATTCACAAGGGTTATTCCTTCCTCGCCATTTTAAATCGAAGACTCAACACTTTTCTATGCCACACTTTTGTGAATTTTGTAAGTAAGTGCGTCCAATCAAACACGATCGAAAGCTTTGTCTATATCAATAAACAGTCCTCCTGTGAATTTCTTTTGATGAAAGCCCCCGAGTTGTGTTCAACAATACAATATAGTTCATAAAACATTGATAAATTCCTGCGGAATTCAAATTGCTAAGGGATATTCAGGGTTCGTATGGTCCTTAAAAGTCCTTGGATTTTTTGGAATCGATTTTTAAACCTTAAAAGTCCTTAATTTTGCCCAAAACCGAATTTTGAATTTTCGAGTTATTCCATTTGCCATTTGAGTGTGAATGAAGCATTTTGGAGGAATATTTTCGGCGATTCACTAATAAATATGGTTGTCTTTTGAATGGGTTCATGGGTTAGAATTTGTTCTTATTTCTAATATAAACGGTGGGATACTCGAGTTTCTGGCCAAAAAATAAAAAATAAGCATTTCGAAATTATTTCATTTTTTCTAATGATTAGCCGACCGGAACCTGTGAAAGGTGCAGTAATCTTGCTGGGATACTCCATTTCCGTGGGAATGACAGGACAACATAAATGGATGGAGATGATCGCCTAGCAACTCTACGTACCGAATCGTATTGAAGGAGGTTGGTACAAGTACCAAAGATCCCAAACACTGCCAAGAGAAAACACCCCAAACCATGATTAAGCCACCATGGCTTTGTACAGTTGCAATCTGCCATACAGGAGTCATGGTTTCATGAGTCTGATGCCACATCCTCAGCCTCCCATCGGTTGGAATCGAGACTCATCACTCCTTACTACTCATTTCAAATTATAAGGTATTTCTCCCACCTTCTTGGCATGCCTTCGTGGTGTGTGATCTTCATGCTCAGCGCGTAATTGAGAGGTCCGTGGTTCGATTCCCAGCGAAAGCGTTGCATATTTTTCATCTTGCCTGCTTCCAAAAAAATATTTAATGTTTAAATGTCTTCACTTGAGTCTATTCTCTGTATTCTCTTGCCCAGGCAAGAAGTGCAGCTCAATGGCATGCATTCAGCAAACGTACTCTCGTGGATCTATGGCTTCCGAAGCCCATATGGTGAAGCCAGCATTGCACGATCCGTTTTACTGACTATACGACTGTCGCCCTGATTCAGCTGGTTGGTAATTTGAGATAATGTTTGGCTTCGTAGACTGTGTACGATACGGCTGAGTCGTCTCAGACCACACTTATTCTAGGTTAAATGTCCTTTGCAGTTTGCCCGATTGTTAGTTCTTTTTCCCACCATCCATGTATTCTCGGTATATGCTTGACTCTGCCGAACTTGAAAATTCTAGCCCGCTGAGGATTTTGGAAATTGAATGGTCCATGCGTCGAGTGCCTACTATCTCTCCGCGATCGAAGCTGTCTAAATCAGAAGTTTTACCCATACTAGTAATTGAAAAGACTGATTAACAACAACCATAATACTAGCTATATATTCATTTACCACAACTTCCTCACGTGAGCACACATGCGGCGCAGCGCTATAAAATTTGCATAGCCATGTCTATCCCTAAATCAGTGGCACTTCAGTGTATTACGCGTCCAGTGCTGTTAGTATTATAACAGTTCCATGCGCAGTGTCGTGTGTTCAAGTCTCCATCTATAATAATCTGGTTACCAAGTATGAGTAGTTTATTCAAATCAGCAGTGACTAATTTGGGATTCCGACTCTGAGAGATATACGTAGAGACAAAAATGCATCTCAGAAGTTTTGGTTGTGAGTGTAATAGTTGATGCCTGAATGGCAAAAAGCTGTGGTATTGTAACAGAGTAATGGGGAATGCAGCATTTGATAAGAATGGCAGTGCCTCAACTTCACTGATTATTTCCGTTCAGAGGTCTGCAGTATCTGTGCCCAACATAGTTACCAACATAAACAGGGTGGTCAGGGCTAAGCTTATGTTCTTGCATGGACATAATATATGGGGAGTACTCAATTTATAAAATCATTTGCATTCCATGTAATAATGCTTTAAATGATGATACTATTTACCATTGTTTACATTTGAACTGCAAATATTCTTGAATATTGAAAACAATACAAATAACTTATCAATAGAATTTTCCGTCTCCTAAAACTCAGGAAGACGGGCAATAATTTTTCTAATAATTTGCATAATTGATAATCCTTTAAACATATTTTTACATTCATTTACAAATATTTGAATATCCGTAAAAGTATCAAAACGAACGCCAAAGGTAGGTTCACAGCTCTGTTTCGCTTTTTTAGCATGTTCTGACACACATTCCGGCATAGCATTACCAGTACACTAATTTTTTAGCACATCGGTTAAGAGGTGCCAGGTGAAATATTAGATTTACGAGCATTAGTGCTAGATTTAGTTACAGTGTAGAGATATTAGGTTAATTGGAAGCAAGAGCGATGAAAAATTAGCAACGTCTTCGCCGGGAATCGAACCACGGACCTCTGGAATACGTGCCCAGTGTGCAGACCAGCACACCATGAAGGCACGCTAAGAAGGCAGGAGAAATACCTTATAACAGGCTCTGGTGTTTTTGACTATTCTACTGGCATAATGAAAAACATTCAAAGAAAAAGAGGCTAATTTATATTGGTATTTACTTTATATACTTCGGAAATTAGCCATTCTCAGCCATATTCACTTGTACTTAATGAAAAGAATCAGAAGGAAAAGCAAGAGGATATCATTCCAAATGATATCTGTTCTCTTTTTTTTTTTTTTTTTAATTTCCTATGTCATGTAATTTTGCAACAATAATACAATTTTGTTTATCTCACTTTGATTATCCTGTCACAATTTGTTTTACTAACCTGAAAATCATAGTATTATTAAATTAAAGAATAAAATTAAAGCTATAAATAAATGCTAATGCTTTTGATAATTTTCATGATTCTAATTCTGGAAAATTCGGATGATAATTTTTTGAATGATCTTGATAAATATTTATGAACAGTATGCTTTCCTATACTTGTATCTCCTTATGTACAAATTCTTCAGTGATTATATAAATTCTATTACAAAATGATGTTGTTACGCTTTTTATTCCATTACAAAATAGCATAAAACATACGTTATTACTGTGTAAGAGAAATAGAAGTATAGGCAAGCATATGCTACATAAAACAAGTTATCAAAATCATTCAAAAATCGAATGTGTAATGTTTAACTTTTATTTAAAATCTTTTAGCTGATAATTCATATTTGAAAAGTGAAATGTAATTTCAAAGTCTGCAAATACTTTTTCTAGGCAACGTTTCCTCATTTATTCAGTGTCCTTCATCTCTCTGATGGAAAATTGTGGAGAAAATTTGCAAAAAGTAGTCACTGTGAACTGGAAATACCATCTACTGTTACTTCTAAGATAAGCATTTTTCAGCAACTTCTTCTTGTACAAGCCCTTCGACCAGATCGTCTGTATAGTGCTAGTGCACTTTTTGCTAGTAGAGTTCTTGGTATGTAGTTTTAAATATAGTAACTTTTGTAAATTAAATTATTTTAGTCATTTCATTGAAGTTTATCTTTAACATTTATATAATTAAGTACATTATTTTACATATTTTTAAGAAACACAAAATTTCACTTATTTAAAAAAAGTTGAACATTGAAGTAGCAACATTTTTTAAAAAATTTTACAGGTCTTAAAGAGTTATTTTCTCAAGCAGTGAATTTGAAGAGCATCTTAAGTACGTCAAACACAGAGCCCATTCTAATAATTATATCTGCTGGAGTAGATCCATCACAAGAACTATTTGAGTTAGCATCATCAACTGTTGGTTCTGACAATTATGTTCAGGTGGGCTTCAAACCTTTTAAATTTTTTCATTCATTCTTCTTTCATTACTGGTGATAATAGGAAACTAAATGTTTTTTAGGTGTCAATGGGACAAGGACAAATGGAAATTGCAATACAGTATTTACAATCATGTGCCAGAGAAGGGCATTGGTTATGCTTGAAAAATCTACATTTAGTTACTCATTGGCTGCCAACTTTACTTAAGGTTTGAATTTTTAATTAAGTTTAAATATATAGGAAAAGCAATTTTCATGATCGGATTTTTATATCACTGTTAATTGAAAAGAGGCAAAGTTTCAAATAATTTATCCTATTTCAAACATCAGTAAAATTTTTTTAACTAGTGTCAAGATTTAATTCATCACAAACATTATACTCATAATAACACTAAAGTCAACACATTTTTTGCTAAGTCTTTGTCCTCTGAAATCACTCTGACTATTAAGGTAAGAATGTTTATTTCTTCAAAAATTCTTAAATAACATAACATAATATGTAAATAATAAAACTAGTGATAAAGAACAATTTAATAAATTTAAGTAAAAATTATGATGAAATTGTTCTTTTTATCCATAAGATGGAAAAGTTAGGATATGGATTCTTAGCAAAGATGGAATCCCTTGAAAAAAAGACATAGGTGCCATAAAATTGTTAGAAGAACTTCCTTGCTTATATTTGCTAAAGATAATTATAATTTATATATTAGTAAATATGCAAATATTATATATGTATTAAAAGTGATAAAACATAAATGTGTCGTCTTTAGTACTTTAAAGAATTAAAAATATTACATACAAATAAGACGTACTTTATAAATATATGTTGCTTATATGTTTATTATTATACTGTAAGGATGCCATTAATACTACAGTCAAAAGTCTTTAATCCGGACTCGTCGGGACTTCGGCGATTCCGGATTATCGGTTTTTCCGGATTATAGATCATCAGTTTAAATCTGGTAAGATGGCATGCAGAAATTATAAAATTAAAAATATGAAACCGTAATTTATAAAATAAAGAGCAATTATGATCTAAAGGGTATCAAAATTTACAAAAAAAAAGCTTAATATTTATTTGTTTACTTTATTAAACATTTCTTTCAACACGCGCATGCGTAAAGCATACATTACGCATAGTCGAAATTAGAAAATTGCAACCAGAAAACTATTTGATGTGTATTCGTGATATTTATAATGACGAGGAATTTGATTTAAATCATATCAAAGACGGAGTACATCGAGATGAAATACTACATTTAGTAAGGAATTATAAGCCGAATAAAATAAAAACATCTGCCCTGAAGATAAGGATAGTGCTGACAGATCAACTTCCAGTTTCATTGCGCACCGCGACGTCCCCCCCCCCGCAGAGCAGCGTGAAATTGATAAACAGATTTCGGAATGGTTAGAGAAACAAAGGATATGCCTTTATCCATTTTTTGCAGCAATTCCACTTTTTTGTTTGATGGACATCGAAACATACTTTCGCTTTGTAGATCCTTTGGCAGCTCCAGCATCGGAAATTCTGTTTGACATAATCGAAAGTTCAAGCTTACTTTTATAAAATTGCTCTAACAGTCTGCAAAAAATAATAAGCCGGATCCAATTCGAAGATTAAGGAACAATGCGATCTGCAACATTAACTGAAATAGATAATTAGATAATTTTAGCTTATACCGTCCGTTATACATTAAACGCGCATGCGAAAACGTATTCTGCGCTTGCGCAGACACATATGCGCAGTTGTAAATGTCTTGCGCGCACGCGTAAAACGCCTATGCGCATGCGTCAACGCGGCTCATGCGCAGAAAGATTTCAGCTTTGAGGTCCGGATTATAGATCATTCCGGATTATGGGTGTCCGAATTAACGACTTTTGACTGTACTTACTAATACCTTTAAAACATACTAAATAAACTAATAATGAACTGTATATTTATATCTATATTATAAAAATACCATAAAGAGCACTTAAGATATACTAAAAAAGGGGTATCTTTTGAAAAGTGTTGGGAGATGTTGAGAAGAGAAGAATGGGGATAATAATATTCAGAAACTCTGATAAGGAAGACTATGATGATGACTATGAGTCTGGTATAGTGTAGGAAAGTTCAGGAAGGCAAGAGTCAAAAGTTTGGTAGAGATTAAATAAGTAAATATTAAGTTGATGGAAAGGTTTTGCCTTTTCAGAAGCAAAAAATCTCTATTGGAATACATTCATGATAAAAAAAAAATAAGTGTTTAAATATGAGCTTTGCTTATGTCCTTAGTGCACGTTTCAGTCATAAGGCTGTTTGCCGTGAAGTTTTAAATCTGAGTCATTTGTTTTAGAATCAAGCTGTAGACTCATTGGGTTATTTTTGAAGCAGGAGACATGAAAAATGAGCAATGCCCTGTACGGAACCCGAACCTCGACCTCTTGAATACGCGCCGAGTGTACTACCGTTACACTATGAACGCATGCTGGAAGGCGGGAATCTATAAAGTGATTGTGTTAAACAATAAAGATAGACACTTCAGAAAATGGGATGCAAGCACATTCTTCAGTTTGTCCAAGCTTTTTCATGATAATACTACCACTAAAGGTTTGGCTCCCTTCAGGACGGATTTTGGCTGTGTATCTTGTCAGACACACATATTGGCATAATGAGCTTGTTAGGAATGTATAATGCTGTTGTTATCAACAATATGCTCATCCTTGGCTTGAAGAGCAAGCTTTGGCAGTGGAAGAATCTGCCCACTGTTAGTCAGAGTGGAGAAGCTGTTTTTAAGTCATACCAACACACCAATATTTCAATCTATTCTGTTATCATAGGTGATACTACTGTGCCAAGAAGCTGGTGTGAACCTATACGAAAAAGAATAAAAAACCGAGGCCTTAGATTTCAGCCAAAAGAAGGGTACATATGAGTAAAGTGATGTTGTACTTTTGATAGTATTTACTTGATAGTAACATCTTCTCCAATCAAGCATTAGCATCATGATCAAGCTGTATTTATTTGTCAGCATCTACAATGCTTCGCTAACAAATTCTTTGATTGGCACAATGCTGTCCAGTCCTTGTTCGATAGCATGAGTCTGAAGAGACTCATCTAAAGCTGCTTAACTTCAGCTGGTAAGTTTTGCCTTATGTATAGCATAGATCTTTTACTCAAGGATTGCCATATTTTCCAATGCCGGGTTGTATTTTCAAGAAACATGTCTTCAACAAGCAAGAGGTAAATAGTGACTGAGCTATTTGAGACTTATTTGCAAGTATGTAAACAATTTCCATGTATGATTTCTGTGTGTTGGGTTTAACAGATAAAATACTTTTTTCCGTATTCCATTTTAACTTTAAATTTAGGTAACCAGTTTATTATGTATATGTATGTGAGAAAAAAACATAAAGATGTGTTTTTTTCTGAGAAATAAAAGATTTTATTGTATCTTTACTCTCCCAAAGGAATTGTCAGTTATCAAACCATCACCTGATTTTCGATTGTGGCTGACATCTGAAGTTCATCCTAATTTTTCAACAGTTCTCCTTGAAATGTGTACCAAAATCACATATGAGGTATTTTTGCCCCTTTTGTAATCTGAAAACTTTATGTACGTTTTTAAATCTGATAATAAATATATGTGTAATGTGTGTGTTATATATTTTTATTAAATATGTGACTATGTGTATATATATATATATATATATATATAATTTATATTTAAAAAATATTTTAGGCTCCTCCTGGTATTAAACGGAATATGTTACGAACTTATGATTCATGGCCTTCTTCTTTCATATCAAAGAGAGGGAATGCTCTTCGAGCCAAAGCCTTGTTTGTACTATCTTGGTTCCATGCAGTTATTCAAGAGCGGAGAACTTACATCCCACAGGTTTCAATTCTTTATTTTTTAACACCATGCTATATGCTCTGAATGATGCAGATTAAGATATTATTTAAACTTCAATTTTGCCTAATAGATAATATTTAGTTAAAATATTATCTATATTTTTAAAAATGAAAATTATACAAATTTTAAAATTACAGTGATAAGTAGTAGTAATTATTCTTATCAATTACATATAAAATATTACAAGTATTTAAATAAAATACATGAATGTGCAACTGATAAAAATTCATACAAAATTAAAGTAGGCTTTTAAATTTTTTATAGTGCATTGGCAAAGATTTATGAGAATGGTTAAAACTATGAATAATAAAATATGATAGTTAGTAATACTTCATTTAATAACTAATTTTCATCATGTACTCAATTTTAGGGCTGGACCAAATTTTATGAGTTCAGTTCTGCAGATCTACGGGTTGCAGCTGATATTATTGATCGAGTGTGCTTAAATTCTGGTAAGATAAATAAAAGACCAGAAATATTTGCAAAATTTTTCTTCTTCTTTTTTTTTTTTTTTTTTTTCTGTTTTCTGTTCATTTATTTATTTCCCCCCCCCTCAAAGCCAGCTTATTTGTTTTTTAAATATTTTTCATTTTACCGATAACCAAAATTCCGCATAATAAAGCTTTCTTATTTTTAAAATTTAGATCGCAGTACGCAGTGGGAATACATTCATGGACTTTTTGAAACAGCAGTATATGGAGGGAGAATAGATGATGCCTTTGATTTAAGAGTTTTATCTTCATATCTTAAAGAATTCTTTGACAATAAAATAATGACTGCAGGCAGTCGGAAACTTTTAGGTGGGATTATATCTGTTCCAGCATCCGTAGATTATAAGGTAAAGACCATACTTTTTCACCTGCTGTGTTTTTTGCCCCTTTTACTGTTGGCAATCATTTTCTTTTTTGTATTGTAGGAACACATGCATGCAATACGCACATTACCAGACACTGATAATTCGGAATTCTTTGGTTTGCCAGAAAATATTGAAAGGTCAGCACAATGTACTTCAAGTCGCAGGATGATAGATCAGTTGAAACGACTTCTGAGACAAACTGAGATAGCCGATAAATTTGATGTTCTTCGTTGGAATGTTGAACTGTCTCCAATTCTAGTTCTTTGGAAAAAGCTTAATCAGGTACATTATATAGTATAGGTTGTATCGTAAAAAAGCGTTTTGTATTCTTATTTGGTTTTATTGTTTTAACATGACATTGCTCTTGCAAAATACTGTGAATTAAAAAACACATTTATAATTCTTATTGCATGGTTATTATAGTTCTTATGCATAGTAATTAAAAATTATAATTATCTGTTTTTGAAAGAATGTAAAATCATTAAATATGGAAATAATCCTAATCTTTGATTAAAAATGTTTAATTTATATAGTTCTGTTAAAACTATAAAATGGCCATGCTGTCTGCAAGACCTTCAGAATTTGATAAACTAATGTGATTTTAGTCTTTATTATTTAGTTTGACATTTATAGTACATCTCACAATCAACATTGTAAAATGTTTAAATTAGTTTCAAAAGGTTTATAAGTACAGAATTCATATATGAGAAAATGACTTGTAGAGACCTCACGTGTAATTTCTTGCCCTGTGAGGGAAAATAATTAATTGGTCCACATACCATAACTTGAAATAAGTAGATATATATTTTGAAACGTAGAAAGCAAGACAGAGTAATAACTTGTTATAGATTGATTATAGCATATTACAGATTACAGATTAGCAGTTTGACTGTGATAGCAAAGAACTAAATTCTGTAAAATTTTTGTGCTTTTGAACTAAGCACGAATGAAATTTTGAAGCAAATGCCGATGAAATCGGAGAAAGTGACTTATTCGGTATTCATTGTGTGATTAGCACAATGAATACTGAATTTGGTCAAAGAGTGATTTATATGCAAATAGCAGAAACAAGATATAACACATAGTGTGACAGTACATAAAAAGCCTGCAATGTAGTACATCTCAATAAGCCAAAAGAAGATGAAGGAGGTTATTAAAGATATTTCCTTTGAGTTCAAGGAAGCTGTACTTGTAATATAGCTAAAAGAATCCATCTGGATCATTTCATACATGAAAGAATTATTAGTAAGTTCGAGGGTCATAGCGACCCAAGTGTTTGGTATTGACTACATCATCTTTTCACATATTTGGAGAACCTTCCAAAACATCAGTACGCTTGGTAGTTGGTGATGATCCTCTCCCTGCCCCCCCCCAAAAAAAATATCATTTTATGACCGGCATTTTTTTCTTCAGGTGAAAGACTGATATCCGTGAGTGGGAAATATTGCTCAGCACCTGCATACAGCAACAGAATGTTAAGTGTTGAAGTTTATTGTGGCCAGACACTATCATAAAAGTGGCCTATTTGCTTTATAGTTCTGAATATTGCCCCTCATTGACGACCATTCATCTGCAGTTCTATCACACTGGTTCAAAGAGCACAAAGCGTAGACAATCAAAATAGGGCCACGTTTTCGTTAAACTGAAAGGGATTTCAATGCCATGAATGATTTTAGATATCAGCTGAATATGAAGAAAGGTGGAGACACGGTTTTATACCAGGAACATAAGTGAAAGATACCACTATGATGGTCCTGGAACACTTGTCTAAGCACTGACTTCCATATTTTGATACATAAAACATTAACGGATATTGCTTTGACAAAAAGAGATTCTTCACAGCATAAATCTATCCAAAATACTATCAGTACAGACTCCATTTTTATGGATAACAACATGAGAACACATCAGATCTGTGACGTGTAGGAGCTGCTAGAAAATGAGGATATCTCTCGAATAGAGTGGCCATTATGCTGCCCTAAATTTCATCCTATAAATGTAGGATGCTTCAGGAAGACTCTTTTTCTCATCTCACTATATCCACCAGGAAACACCCAACAACTGAAATATGCTCATCAAGGAATAGGCATTCTTACTCTATAATTTTGGATTATCTGGTATTAAATGTAGAGAATTGGGGCCTTGCAACCATTGCAACTAAAGGATGTCATATCCCTTTCTAAGCAACATTTGTTTGTTGTTCTTCCTCTTGGACAGACAATCATTTGTGCCAATGCGACTTTTTTTTTTTTTGTAAAACCTTTTTCTGCTTGATTCCATACTTTACACATCATATTAATTTTTGTAGTAGTTCGTTTTTCCTCATTCTTTATTACGAAAAGTCAGCCTGTGTTCTGATTTTTGGTGTATTTCAGGTTCTCAAAGAGTTACAGAAAAAAAATCATTTATTCTTTAAATTTTGTGCATTGGTGCATTAATTATTGATAATATTTAGTTCTAATTTGTAAACTTTTAAACTGTATCATAATTGAAAATTAAATGATTTATGTTTTTATTTAAAAGATTTTTTCAAAAACCAGTATCTTTTCTGATTCAATTTTTAAAAATAAGAAAAAATTTAAATCTTAACCCAGAAGAAAAATATAATCCTTTACCTTTTGCTTTTGAAAAATTTTAAGACCCTTTAATAATTTACATAATAATTATAAAAGTCAAAGTACATAGTTCTGTTTGGCCTACCAGTGGCCGAGTGGCAAAGTTGGTGAACACTGGTAGTTCACTCCGAGGTTCGAATCCCGCAAATGGGCTGGCTGCATGGGTGTGTTCATGATTTTTCCCATGTGTAACAAGCCAGATTCTCTCAGAAAGCCCTCCACTGAGGCATCCCTCTCCTTAGGGAATCTCGAGTGCTTTGCTATAATCAAATACACTGCACAACCATAGTTCTGCTCTTTTCTTTTTATAAAGTTTTCAGCTATTGATTACATTTGCAATTCTCTAATTCACTGGTAACTTACCACTAAGATCTGAATTGTTTTAATTTCATTTCTCGCAGATGACTATATTAAGCAATATTTGTCATGTTCTTGCTTTAATATTAGGGTTCTCAAATTATCCATTTGCAATTGACACCACCACAATTCAACAAAGAGATGGAAGAAGAACCACCAGTGCTGTCCTTCATTCGACTGGAGTATTATTCAGGTGTTCGACTTGTGCATAATGTGCATTCATCTCTTGCATCCATTAGTAAAGTTATTCGAGGTGCTATACTCTTAACTGATGATATCCACACTTTGGCTACATCTCTTTTGAAACATGAGGTATACAATTTATATTTATATAATCATATGTATTTATGAATGAATTATAAATAGTGTTATGAATTTTGTATATATATAAATAGTTTTAGGGAAATTATATGTAAAATTGTAGTATCTCATGTAAAAGGTAACTTGAAATGCCTCAAAAATGCGAAGCTCCGCTGAAAAAATAACGTTACAGGGACAGTGGTTTACATTTGGATATCTGGCGAAATAGCGCCAAGCTGGCGATGCTTTTGGCGACTAATTTTTATCGCTAAAATTGGTGACATTTTGGTCCGATCCCTATATTTAACTGTAACCATATCCACCCCTATGTAACTGTAACTCTGTATGTGTTCCAGCAATTTCGAGAAATCTAAGGTACTGAAAATTTCTCAGCGGCCTAGGGAAAACTATATAAGACTTAATTACAAATTTTTTAAAATTAAATTATAGATTTTGGAAGGCCTAATGCTTTTATTGACTGCAATAATTAGAAACAACAATGAACAATTTTTAATAAAAAAAAAGATGTTATATAATGTGTCTATATATATATAATATGGATTTTGTTACATAATGTTACAATTTGTTTTACAATGCATCTGATATCTGTCTTACAAATGGGAAATAAGGATCTACAAATAGAATTATATAGCTGTTAATCTCTTGAATTCGTAGAAACAAGATATATTAATGAAATTCTATCATAAGGAAAAAAATTGCGAAAATATATACATATGTTTAAAAAAAATTAACAAAATTATTCAGAATTCTATTATGTATATTACATTCGAATTCATTATGCTTACTAAAATAAAATCGGATTTTAAATTTTCATAGTACCTTAAGAGAACTTATGTTTTCAAAGTAATGATATATGGAAAATATTTTTTTTTCTTTTAATTATAATATTCTCCAAGTTCTAATCAATTTAGTGTGAAAAATGATTCCAGTCCTTTTTACTGAAGTTAGTATGAAAACAATTTCATAATTTATTTACTTTTAGACACCTAATGCATGGCAAAACAGATGGGAAGGTCCAGAGGATCCACTTGCTTATCTGCGTGGAGCAATGCGCAGGGCTTTAGCAATTCAGACTTGGTTACCTAAAGCAGAAACTGGACGGCTGCTTGATGAAAGCATTGACCTGTCACATCTCTTTCATCCAGATACATTCTTAAATGCTCTTAGACAACAAACAGCAAGGTATCATTGATAGAAATATATATTAAAATTGTGTAATAAAGGAAATTTAGCACTAGAATTATTTCTAAATATATTGGTATGATAATTCTGTATAAAGCTTCTTAATGTTTTAATTTCAGAACTCTTTACATGCCTTATTTCCTTTCTATGTAATAACAGAAACTGTGATCCACCCTGTTTTATGGAATCTTTTCACTTCCATCAGTTTAAGAAGTAAAGTTATTTTTCCTTCAACCAACTGTAACTTAAGTAATTTTGATTGTTTTTTAATGCGCAATACACAAAAAGTTTTCCAATGTGTCTTACTACCAAAAATAGTAGTAATAGTACATTATAAAGTACTAATATCATTCAATTAGATTTAGTCTTAGTTAATTGATGTAATCAATAGTCTGCTTCAAAATTATATAGATTGCTCACTTCTGATTACAGTATTAGTGTTATAGCAATGGAATCTCAAAATAAATGAAGGCCCATTTGAATACATGTCGTGATAACTTTTTTTTTTTTTTTAAAGTCCGAAGGTCTAATATTCAGACTTAAAAAAGACAGCAGCCTTGTCCTCCAATAAATAAATAAATAAAATAAACAATCTTCTCTTACATAGTTTAGGAATGAATAATATAATACTCAACAAAAGAATGCAGGTGTGCTGTGAATGCGATTTTTCTTCCAACTAACTACGATTCCAGCCCATCATTTTCAAATACCTGCTGGCTATGGAATCAGGATCTTGTACTGATGTTGGTTGGAGGGGAGAAGGCATGAGCTAGGGTGCAATCTCTGCAGGTCTTAAATTCCATTGCCTAGTACCTCCTTAATTTCTAAAAACTTTGCCATTCTTAAATTCCGCTGCCCAATGTGCTTCCTAAATTCTAAAAATGTTGCTGCTCTGTGCTTCACTAAATTCCAAAATTTTTATCACCCCTAAATTCTTTTACCCAATTAGCACTGGCACCCCTATAGAGATTAGCATTTGTCTATCTGACTGAAATACTACGTATTGTTGTCATGCTTAGATGTCATTTTACTACACCCAAGCCCCAACAATGAAATCACAGATTTCTCTGAAACTGTGAACTACAATTTATGAACTTGTAACACATAAACGCTAATGGAAAAAGTTGGGAACACTGCATATGATATAAAATCATAGCATGAAACAATAAAAATGGTAATAATATGTTACAAGGAGAGATCGGGGGGGGGGGGGGAAGACTCAGAAAAAAAATTAAGGCTTATGAATTTAATATGGTATGTAATCTTTCAACTTGTACACACATGCCACAACATGGTTTTCATATTGGTAATTACACTGTTAACCACATTTTGAGGAATTAATTTTCACCCCTCCACCAATGGAGTCTTCAAGGCATTCACATTTCCAGGAGCAAGATGTCTCAGTGAAATTGCTTTTCTGAGGTAGTTCTGCAAGTTCACTCTTGAGTTAAGATTACGAGATTTTACTAGCCGCAGCATTCGCTCAATCCTTTCATTCTCAAATAATTCATTAACAAGATCTGCTCGATGTGGACAAGCATTATCGGCCATAAATGAAAAGTCAGATCCATATGTACCTCTGGCCAGCTATAAATCCACTGTTGAAAATGTGCAATGGTATACCTCCATCATCCTCCCCGATCCATCACACCTAAATTACCAAGATAATCATGTTCCATAATGTTCAGAGGAAGATTTTGCATTCCTGACTTTCTGCAGAGTGTAAGCATATTTAGAATAAGATGTTAAAAAGTAAACTTCGACTGATCAGTAAACAGAGCACCAAGCCATAGGTGTTCACTCCAGATCTGATGTTCTTTGTACCAATTAAAACCATCCCTCTTTTGTTGTGAAAACACAGAAACACCCGCCAGTAGCTTTCTGGCATAAAGATGTTTTTTATTAAGCCTTCAATATACAGTTTGCTGTAATACAACAGTTTTAGCGTTGGCTGCGAGCTTTAAACTTAACTGACGAGCAATAGACTTCCTTTCAGTTAAAATAACGTGAAGTGTTTCCACACTTCAAATCATGTAATTCAACTAAACTGAAGTTAGCTTCATTTTACGAGCACTTCAAGTTTGCTCCTCCAGATCAGCTCTTGATCAAAAACTAAATTACTTAAAAGCAGTTGCTATTGACAAAAGCTTTTCACCTAACATTATTGACCAAGTGGTTAAAAACTTCTCATCTCAACACATCAAAAAACACTCTTTTGTTTTAGGAGAATATAAGAATTTGGTTTTCATTCCATTGATTAGTAATAAAATTGCATGCATTTTAGAAATTCAACTTTAAGATATTTTCTCATCTGTCACTTCAGATTTGCAGTTCCATAGTTAAGAAACTCCTGGGGTATAAACAGGATTCATTGCTAGTGCGATTTAATTCATATTGGTCAAACTAAAAAATTTCATTCTCAGGAACATGAGATATGTTAGGAAAAAGAAATACATAAATCCTCTGTTGGTCAGAAAATCACATTTTCCATTTTTCTACATCCAAAATTATTCAAAAAAACATCGGCTGCTGGTGAATAAAATTTTCTGGAGGCATTTCACATTCATAAAAATATTTCAGTTTTATTTAATGATCCCAATTCCAATTCATCTTTACCCTCCGCTTTTAGGGAAATTATTTTTGTGGTTATTTTCATTTTTCATCCATAAATGGCTCCACTAACTTGACTTCCTTACTCTCATTCTTATTGCCTGAGTGCTAGCTTCTATTTTCTGATTTGCATTCTGCAGCTAAAGAAAATTCTATGTTTAAATCTTCGAAAGCAGCCTGGAAATTTATGGATATTACACTGATTCTTGTTGCTTTAAATCCTCCAATAATAGATTTCCATTTAGAATGGGCAGTTATATCTAGATATCAATCTGAAAAATTCGCACATCTCACTGCTTCCATGATTGTCTGTCCTGCTTCTAAATGATCGATTTGTCAAATTCTTCCAAATGATACTTCGGAGCCATAACAAACTGTTTTGAGTACTTTCACTCTGAAATCAAAAGCTGTATTGCAAAAATTCACACAAGATATTCACTTTGCTGAAAGCACTTGACTCACCGTCACCTTGATTTGCATATCAGAAACCATTCAATCACTTTTGATCGGATAATGCTACTTAGGGCTTGTCTTTCAAAAATTCTCTGCAAAATCTGATCATTATTTTTGAGTATGTAAAGATAAATTTAGACATGAGTATAGATTTAAACTGATAATCTAAAGTACAGAAATTTCTAAAATCCAGAATACAGAAGTCCCGATCATGGGCTGTATGAGTAGTTGCATAAAAGTTCTATGCTTAGAAGGTGGGACATGCATTGAGAAGGCATTTGATGACTTGGGAAAATGGCATGCGATAGGGAGCATAGAAACAAGACAGACATTGGCATAGATCTTTAAAATCTAAAGTCCAAAGTATCATGTCAGGTGTCTGAAAACAGTTGAAAGATACTGATATGATATATACAGAGAAACAAGTCAAAGTCAAAACATGCCAAAACAGACTCTCAGGATTATTATTTGACAATGATTGTTAAAGGAAATAGATAACTGATGTCATCCCAGATTGCAAGGGAGTTCACAGCAGTTGTAATTAACTCAAATTATCCAAATATACCAAATCATAAAATAGTTTTGTATGTAGAAAACCTACGATTTATGTCTCATTAAATCTGACTGTGAAATGCGTGAAAATGACTACAAAATTTGCATTTTGTTCAAAGCTGACCACACACCTCATTAATTTTTCTATGTATCTCAAAACTAGTTAGACCAGCTTTTCCATATTTTACTTCATAATACATTTTTCTACTGTTCTTATTTAAATTAATTTGAAGATATGTTAGACATGATAAAATAACGATCTTGTGCAAGTTCCGATTCTTACCAGCAAAATCTTTCAAGTTTCATAATTTTTTTTTATCATTATTCCCTTCCCCACCAGTATAAATATAATTTGGATAAAAACTATGTTCTTTGCTTGTATCTTTAAATGCATTACTTATTTATTGTCTACTGCAGTTTTATAAGTTTTCTGTGTAAATTAAACAGGTAAAACTATAACCCAGAGTAATTAATTTATAAAAAATAATAAATATATCTTATTTAGTTTGACTTGCTTAATGTTGTTACTGCTTATTATACATGCATGGCAGTAAGATCTTGAGACCTGAGACATTCCAGAATTAAACGTTATTTGCATTAAATTTGGTCTTTAAAACAGACATTGCATTAGAAAATATAAGAAGTGGCCTATAAAGAGGTGCATTTAGGCCATAAACAACCTTGCGTTCAGAAACATCTTTCTTCCAGTGAAGATGACCACTGCAAAATCTAGCTAATACAGTCTTGGTTTTTCTGCTGGCCTCAAGTAGGACAGCATCAAGCTGTTTGCAAGCATACAAGTAATGATCAGGGAGAATTCTTCAGGATGAAATGACCTTGAGCCTCAAAAGAAACAGCACCAAAGACTGGTATATCCTCAAGGATACCCTCCTTAGCCAACCTATTTGCCATTTCACTTCAATAAATATATTTACATGTGATGGAACCGATGAAAAAACACCCCATGATGTTCACTGATGGATTTTAATTTTTGGACTATATTCACAGTATTATGATCATTACCATACTTCCACTATTTAGATAGATACTGAATAAAGCTGGGGCTGTCACTAAAAATCCAGCCACCTTTATCAAGATTAGTAGTCATGATTCTATTAACATCATTAATTTGAATGAACTCTATACTGAAGTAAATTCATTTGTAGAGATATAATGCTACTATGTTCTTAATTATTGTATTATGTTAATCCTTTGACTGCTAACAGAACATACATGTCCTACTAAATGTTTAAAAATTACTGCTGGATAAAAAAATACTTGGAATCTCCTGAATGTTAGGGATCATCTTCCAATAGTTGGAAAATCAAGATGGTGCTGTGTTTATTGTACACAAATGAACATAGAGAAAAGAACAAATATGAGTTGCCCAATGTGTAATGTTGGGTTATATGAAAAGAATACTTTACCCTGTACCATATGATGTAAAAACTATTTCATATAAAACAGTTTTCCAGAATGACAGATCTTATAATCATTCGATCGCTACGTGTGGGACATATGTATCTCAGCCTTTCACTTAAAAACAGTTTGTCCAAAAAAAAAAAAAAAATCCAATAAATGTTAAACATGTTACTTTGGCTATTTTTTAATTACTATGATATTTTAGATGTTACAATCACTTATTTACTGCACCACAGATTATTTTCTGTTAATACTATTCAAGAATAAGAACTAGTCAAAAATTAACCCCATTCTGCCTCATGAGATACCTATGGGACTGACAATTTACAAGGTCATTATAGTTCATATGCATTTTATAGAATATAGTACGGTAGTTATTTTTAGCAGTGAATGGATTGAAATATAAAACTATACTAAATTAAAAGGTACAAATTTCTACTCATGCAATGTTTCCTTGTAATGTAATAGTAAACAATATAAGCATGTTTTTTAATATATATTAAATTAAGAAAGCATTTATTTCAGGAATTGTAAGGTATCAATGGACAATTTAAAATTTGTGTGCAGCTGGAAAGGAAAAATTCCTAATGCTAATTTAAGCATCACCATAACTGGAATCTACTTAGAAGGATGTTTGTTTGATGGACATCAGCTCTCCGATTGCCATCACGATTCACCAGTTGTTTCATTGGTGCCACCTTTCACTGCTGCTTGGATTCCAAAGGTAAAATAAATTCTTGTTTTCACTACAATAATTTTAATTATATTTAAAATTATCAATTATAATTAATTTTTTATTTCAAAATAATTTTAACTGAAGGGTTTTAATATATCTCAAATTATAAAAAACTGAAAGGGGCAAAAATATATTCATATTTGTATATACCCACTGAAATGCTTGAAAAACAAAAACATAGCTAATTAATAAGCAACTGAGTAAAATATCCCACATTTTATTTTTTCAGTCAGAAAACAGCATTAACACTTAAGTGAGTTACAATACTAACTCTTAAGTGAGTAAAGCAGCTCCTTCTGACTATGTAAATGAATTAATAATGTCTGAATTGAATCAAGGCAATTAATTAATAGTGGCATAAGGAATGACAAAAAAAAGGCAACTTTAAAGAACATAGCATTGATGAACATAAAATTACTTTGGAGCTAAATTAAAAAATAGTACCAAAGTGAAATGAGAGGTATTCCACAATTTCAATATTATTTTTACAAAATTTACCATGCATAATGAATTAATGTAAGTAGGGAAAAAATCTGTTTTTATCGTATCACATATTTGAATATAGTACTTCAGGGCATATTTGGTTCTGCACTTTGTTTTTCAGATAAAGCAAGTTTAATTAAAATTTTAAAATTATTCCTATTTTTTTTTTCATCACTTCATTACCAGTTACTCAGTTTTTCCCAATCTTTTATAATCCTAAAATAATGCATTTATTTTTCATTTTAATCGAATTAAGCTTTATTCTGTAACATTTTCATGAAAAATTATTTTAAATCATTATATTTGATTAGAATAGAAATTTAAAAAAATTAAATTTTACAAAACATAAAATTATGAATTCTTTGCGGAAAATATGTTCATTGCCTACAGAATACTCTTATGTGTAGGAGTCATGTCTGGTAATATTTCTTCAGTTCTATGTTTCCATAGAGGACAAGCAAAATTTTTAGAATTAAGAGAAGAACCCAGCAGCACAATTTAGGAATGTGGAATTTTTTAGGATTTAAGAGAGGTGCGTGGAATTAGCAAAATTTTTAGAATTTAAAGAGGTAATGGGCAGTAGAATTCAGAACTTTCAGAGATTGCACTGGCTGGCAAAATGCCTAGCACCCAACCTACTATTAGACTGATTAGTCAGTTTTTTAGACCATTCAGTGTGACTTCCAAATCAGAATTTATTATTTAAATAAATTAAAGACTTTAAACTGTATTTAGTACCCCAAATAACATTGATCTGGAATTTCTGACTCTGTTTAGCTGGTCAAGATGGTATAAATTCGGCAACTTGATGCACTGCTTTATTGGAAAGTAATTATTCTGCAATCATAGCTGTGGATGACACAGCTGAATCAATACTGCATATTCTTCAACAAAACAGCTATTTATACTCAAAAGGATGAAAAATAAATTATACTGAAACCTATAAAGTGATGAAAGAAGTTGAATCCAAAGTCACATTAGCTTTTATTTGCAGAGCTGATAAACAAAAATGGTAGTTTTATAGAACTTTGTGTGGTTGCTATTTTATCACCAGTGGACAATGTGACAAAATTGATTTAAATTCCTTCAAATTGTGATATGTGACAATTATTTTGGCTTTGTGCTCTACGAATAAATTCATAAAAAGTCACATAAAACTTTTTTTAAACCTGAAGAATGCGAGAAGAGTGTGATAAATGTGCTTCAGTGTCAAAATACTAACGTGTTTAAGTATTAAAAGAAATAATGACTTAGTAAACTTTATTACTGCAGCAGTAACCTTTTGTAATACATATCTACTAGGTTTCCAGCTGGTAAGATCATTAAATATTTATACTTTCATTCCTCAAATATTTCACCATAATTATCTACCTATCTTTTGGAATACCGATTAGCTACAAATAAAATCAATTATTAATATCCTATCAATATGATTTCATGAACTGAATCATAATCTACATTTGTTTCCAGAAAATAATTTTATTAATTTGCTTATAAGATTTATTTAAATTTAAACTAATTAAGCAGTCTTTTTTTATTCAAATATATTCAAACAGTCAATGTAATATATAAAAAGTCAACATCAAAATTTAATAAAGGAATCAATTTTAAAATATATTTTTATTTCAATTCAGAGAATGCTTTGTAAAAAAATAATACTCATGCTTTTTATGATTTATTCATTATTTCACATATAAAAATATTAACTTTTTATTGCCACACACATTTTTGTAACTTAACATGATATTATGTGAAATAATCATAATTTTCAATTTTTTGAAGATTCAAGATGACAGTTCCTTATATATAGTTCATTACAAAATTACCAAGATTCATTCTTTTTAAAATATTGTGGAGTGTATGCATTAGAATCTAAGATACTTATTTTATTTGAAGGAAAGAAAAAAAATTTTTGAAATTTTATGGTGTGCAATTTAATTTTTTAGTTGTATGCCCCAATATCTTCAAAAATGTTGTATCACATATGAAGCAATAACATAAATAACTACAGTACAAAGTCTGAAATCTGGCATCCAATATCCAGACCTCTGGACCACCTGCATTTTTTTTTCCCTGTTTTTTTTTTTTTTTTTTTTTTTTTTTGTGCAAAAAGTGAGAAAGAATTCAATTCTGTAACAAAGTACGAAAATTGAATCTTTCTTTAATATATACTTAATGCTTCACATATACATAGACACTCCTATAAAATAATACATGTGAGTGGTTCTGATTCTTAATTTCAGTCTGGCACTAAATAAAACATCTCCATGTTGAAAAAACAAAATTTATGACCTTAAATTTATGGCAATGAATAATTTATTAGTTCCATAGCTACCTTTTTGCTTGACATACATCTCCAACAGAAACGTTCTTACATTATCACTGATTTTACACCTGATGAATAACTTGCATTACTGACACCAACCTTGCAATATTCTTAATTATTTTTTGCTCACATGACTATTAACTCATGAAGAAATGATTCATACAGTAATGCCTACAACACTGTTTTTTTTATTAATATTTTATTACCAAACAGGCAACTTTTCATGCTGATGATCACAGATTTCAGCCAACTGCACTGCGGACATGTTTTTGATGAAGATAAATTTAACAAAAATTTCCATATGCAAAAAGTAGATTTTGTAAATGATATTCATAGGCTAAAAGATTACATTTAGTACTGTTTGAATTAAGAATAATGATTACTTATTCAGATAAGCCTTAAGTATGAGGAATTTATTTATTCCGAAGTGAAATAAATCTTAAGCATTTGTGGGAAACTGGCAGAATTATAAATTAAACTAATATAATTCAAGTTTAACTTTTGCAGCATGCTATCAAATAAGCATTTAAAAGCAAGATTAAATTTAGTGGAACATGTTTTTACTCACCAATCTCATTATACATCACCAATGCTAGACATTAAGCTAAAGCAAGGTACTACTCGAAATCTGTAGAAATGTAGAAAATTTTGCCACTGATATTGAAGAAAGTGACAAAGAGATTGTTGAGCATGAAAAATTTTCCTCACATGGCAATTACACGATTTGAAGAATGAAACTTCGTAACTGAAAAAGAAATTATGTGAAGTAGCTTAACAACTTGAAAGACACATTTAATAAAAGTGACAAACAGACTGTTCAGAACGTAAATATTTGTGAAGTAATTTAACAACTTGGAAGAAATGTTTAATAAAGCCAAACAAGTAAATATTGAGGTTTTTTTTTTTTTTTTTTTTTTTTTTGTAAATTTGATTTTTTAACACCACAAATGATTCACTATTTAATAATTCCAACTTTATAATTTCTGTGTGTCATTTTATTAGATTTAAATTCATGATCTAAAATCCAGAAACATCAAAATCCTGGGAATTTGGATCTCAGATTATTAGAGTAGTATGAAAGTAAGCTATATTATATATTATTTAAATTAAAACTTGTATTTCTAAACCAGCCAAATTTTGCAGTATAACTCATGCCATTACATGGAATCAAGACTTTCCTGTAAGTGGATGCTGGTGATAATACTGTACATTCTACAGTTCCATGGTTTTTTTAACAAACACTGCATTTTTAAATCCAGAAAAAAGGATTGTTAAGCATAAACACTTTTTGTCAGTACCAAAAGACGATGGTATGTAACTATATAACTTGGAAATAATCTTATTTTGTAATCTGGATGTTCAGAATGAATTTGAGATTCAGTATCCCTGTTCGAATTTAAGAATAGAATTACCCTGTGCAAATTCTAATAAACTTTATTTTTCATACTTAAATAAGTATGATTCTAAGTTAAAACTGATAACAGAATAAAAAAAATAACAGGAAAAATTCTGGCACTGTGAGATTTATTGGTGTTTGCAGAAAACAACGAAATCTTTGAAAATAATCCCAGAAGTTCATACCACAATAAAATTAAAGGTAATTATTATAATGCTTTTTTCTCTTGTATAAATTGCATAGATTATATCTGCATAACTTATGTTAAGATATTCAACCTTTGTAAAAATATAGTCTATGTAAGGTGAATGAATAAGTTACTCAACTATACCTCTGTAAAGGCTAAATACATTGCAATATGTATTTTTGAAATAGGTACTTTATTATTAGTCACCCTCAAATTTACATTATATCCTTCTTATGCAATAGGATTCACCAGCACCATACAGAGAGGATGAAGTCTTATCACTGCCAATTTATTTCACATCAGATCGAGAAAGAATAGTTACTTGCATTCATCTTCCATGTGGAGGAAATCATGACCACTGGATACAATCAGGAACTGCCTTATTTCTTAAGAACAACTAATCAAATGAAGCTTATTGTACTGCATTCTAGTCAGATGTATTTATTAATAAAAATATTTATTTTTGAAAAATTATATTATTGAAAAATAAAATTTTTTGTCTTCCAGATGCTTAAAATAAATTTTAAAAAAATCAAAATTAATTTTTTTAACTGATGTACGAATACAATTTGTGATAATCAATATATATTTAAAAGACAACATTTGAATTAGCTTATGTATTGAAAAGAAAAATACATTAACTGCATATAGAAATATATAATAAATTTTTGCATATACACATATTAATGAAAATTTAAGCAATTTTGCTTACCTGTATCAATTATTATCTGATATATTAACTAATAAAATATTTATATAAAAAATTTAATGGATAAATACATTTCGTAAATTCTGATAAGCAAGGTTTAATATTTCCAATAAAAATGCAATATATACATATTAATGATAGGAATGGTATAATAATAGAATAATTTTTAGAAATAACTTTAAAAATACATTTCGTATATTTAAATAGTATCTATTATCTTAATTTGAAAAATAATTCATTTAAGTTCTTATTTTCACAACTTATACACCAAGGAATTTTTTTGTTAATTCTAATAACACATCAAAATATTTCAACATAATAAAATGGAAACTAGTATTGTGATCATATAAAAGCTTAAATGCTATTTCATACGGTTTAATTTATTGTACTTACTAAAATTTTTAATTCATCTTTATCTGGTGCAGATAAACTAGCATAGTTTATATCTTAAGTAAATAATTAAAGCCTTATCAGGGATAATATCTTTGCATGTCTTTTACATCTTTTGATTGCTATGATGTAAAATAACTAACTATAAAGAAATATTAGCTAACAAAATAGAATATCTAAATAAAATATCATTTCCTAAAAAATTTATAATACACAACACCACCCAAAATAGCAACTTCTAATATTATGATAACTATTAAAATCAGCTTATTAGTCATTACTCGTCGATACATGGAACGCAATATTTTTCTGCTCTTGGTTAAGTTAGCATCTGTATCCACAAGCCTTTCTTTAGTCCTAATCAAAGACTCTCTCTGTGTTCCCAATTCATCAACAACAGCAATTCCTATCTGGTCGGTTTCTGCAGCAATCTGTTGGGTTCTATATACAGTTTCAGTTGTCCTGTCTATAGTTTCATTCATTTGTAACAACCTTCCTCTGTTACTGGCTGCTACATTACTTGCAAATGAATTACTTGGCTGATTTGGAGACCCTAATAATTGACTTCTTTTCGAAGAAGCAGAATTTTCACTACTTGCTAACTTTTTCTTTAAAGCATTAAGATCTTGATGATACTGCTTCAAACGATTATTCATTTGCAATCTATAAGGATATGGAGCAGCTTTTACTTCTTCTTCCAAATCATCTAGGAGACGATAAGCATCATCCAACTCTCTTTGAATATCTCTAGCCAAATTTTTCTGAGCTTGACCGGATGCTTTAGGTAATGAGTCATTTATTTTTGTAGTTAAACTGTCTTTTATTGCAATAAAATCATCCTCTAAACTTTCAAAATTTTCAGAAGACATATTGATCCTGTAATAAAAAAAGCCATAGTTAAAAATAAAACACTTATTTTTAATTTCTTGCTAAAAACAAATTATTTACGAATTAAATAAGAAGAGTAAAAAACCTTGAAAAGTCTTGACAAATCTATATACAATTATTTAAATAAAATCATTTTTTTTCTGACAGGAAACAAGTTAAAATTTTTCTCTCATTTATTAAAATTCTATTTCATCTACATGTTTTATATACTTTTAAAAACTTAGATATAATAAAGTATGAAAAAATGAAGTACAAGTAATACTGCTAAGTTCACTAGATTTTTCAAAAATATAATATACTATGGACTTCACAAGCTTCTGTAGACAATAAACACAAATACCTTCTGAAAAAGATCCAAAATTTTATAATATTCAAAAGTGGTGAATCCCTGTTTTGAACAGAATGTTGCATGGTATTCTAGTTATGCTCAATAACTGAGAGATCTGGAAAACAGGAAGTAAGAGATTTCATAATAAACTCAAATAAGTGTTCCTCTAACTTTAATTTATTAGCTGTAGAATGTGTGCAGTGACATTTTGTCTTATTGAGTGAAATGAGCCTAATGATGTATCACATCTGAAAGGATGTTAACATAATGTTCACTGACCTGATGGCCTGAGAAGTTTATATGGGGAGGTCTTAATTCATGCCCAGCTAAATACTCAGTGACTACCAGCCTATACAGATGTTGAAATCCTGTAACCACTGAATAATAGAGGGTTCCCTAATATGCATATTAGTATTCCACTTGCCTATATGAATTTGAAACGTAAGTTGTCCAATTAGGCTGCTAGTTTCTAGTCTTCAGATGCTAAGAAATACCCAGTGGAAGCATTTCTAAGACTATGTGAGGTACAAAGCTCTGCATGAAAGTAAGGAATGACATTTGGTTTGATATTGGGTATTAAACTCCACAGCATAACATATATGGAACGCTTGAATAACCTAGAGGCCCCAGAACTGATTTGCTGATTTTCAGCAGCAGTGATGTATACCTATTTCCTTGATTCTAGACAGATGATACCACAGTCACCTACAGTCTTTTAAAACCATTCTGCAGTTGTACATTTTGATAAAGGTGTACACACAAAAGTCTTTCAATAGCCATTGTGCTGTTATTTATTGTACTGAAGTTATTGTATTTGAAAATATGTCTCTGAAATGGTCGTATGTGAGAAATCTAATATTTGCTTATATATCTGAAAAGTATTTAAATCCTCTTCATAAGTATCTATTACAGTACCTCATTGAAAGTCATGTGAATCATAACTTACCATTGTCACTAATCAGTCGGCAGTAAATTTTCTGCATATTATATATATATATATATATATATAACGGGTGGTCATAATTAAACTGACAGTACTCACAGTGTTTTGTAGCACGATCTATTTGCGAGAATGATGCCACATTTTGTAGGAAGATTAAACAAGAAGGGGGACGAAGAATTCCGTGAAAAAACAAAATTAGTTCCAAACGTCACCGCTAGGGGAATATTTGGCGCTGTGTAATAGAAAATAGAGTGTTAACAAATGCAAATTAATACGGAAAAAAATTACCTTTTATTATACACATTTTCTGATTTAGTTCAAGTGCAATATGGCAACACATTTTAAAAAGCGTAAAATCTTACATGAACACCGATAAAGTCTCGTGATCTGCAATATCACGTAGGCTGAGCAGAAGAAGAAGTTCTTTATTCAAATTTCACGTTACATCCATTCGCACAGTGCCAGCTGCTTGGGTTTTAAAAGGCAATGCGTTACGTTTCGAATCAATTGGATTGAAAGATTATGTGCAATGTCTCCTTTAGTCGAGCGTGCATTACTGGTCAAATTCTTTTACCTCAACCAGTGCAACGCGTCAGCCGCTCTTCGTGCTTTTAGAACGCACAAAAAAAATTCATAAAGGTAACCGTCCTGTGTCAGTTAATGGGCTAAAAGCAATGGTTGCGATTTTTGAGAAAACAGGTTCTCTGAAGGTTCAGTCAGGCAGAGGACAAAAACCTGTACCACAGGATACAATCGAAGCAGTTGCCATGGCGATTGTCGACAGAAGACCACACAGTTTCAGTTGTCCTGTCTATAGTTTCATTCATTTGTAACAACCTTCCTCTGTTACTGGCTGCTACATTACTTGCAAATGAATTACTTGGCTGATTTGGAGACCCTAATAATTGACTTCTTTTCGAAGAAGCAGAATTTTCACTACTTGCTAACTTTTTCTTTAAAGCATTAAGATCTTGATGATACTGCTTCAAACGATTATTCATTTGCAATCTATAAGGATATGGAGCAGCTTTTACTTCTTCTTCCAAATCATCTAGGAGACGATAAGCATCATCCAACTCTCTTTGAATATCTCTAGCCAAATTTTTCTGAGCTTGACCGGATGCTTTAGGTAATGAGTCATTTATTTTTGTAGTTAAACTGTCTTTTATTGCAATAAAATCATCCTCTAAACTTTCGAAATTTTCAGAAGACATATTGATCCTGTAATTGTTGTCATATCGCTGTCACCTCTAGCACTTGTGGAGTAGCTCGGAATATGGATGTGCCTTACAGTACGGTATGGAAAATCTTACGAAAGATTATCAACTTCTATCCATACAAGATCAGCCGTGTATAGGAGTTACTGTACCCCGACCATGATAAGCGATTGACTTTTGCTTTCACCTTTCTTGCCAGAATGGAGGTGGATGATGCTTGGCCGTGGAAAATCTTATGGGGAGATGAGGCCCACTTTTACCTGAATGGAACTGTGAATACCCAGAACTGCCGAATTTGGGATGACAAATCACCACATGCAGTCACAGCAATTCCCTTACATTCACCAAAGGTAACTGTTTGGTATGGGTTCACATCGGAATTTATCGTAGGTCCATTCTTCTACATTACCCCGACAGGACCGGAAACCTGTTCTGTTACCGGAAAGAAATATCGCCACATGTTGAACAGCTTTGTCATTCCGGCACTTCAGCAAAGACAATGCATGGGGGAAATCATTTTTCATGCAAGAATGGAGTCCCTCCACACGTTGCTGTACGGGTGCAACAGATGCTATACGACAGAAATTCACAAACAGAAAGAGTCATTAGCCGCTACTTTGCAACTACATGACCACCTCAGTCGCCTGATCTTACCCCATGCGACTTCTGGCTATGGGGTTACCTTAAGTCTATCAAGGTCTATCAAGAAGTGGTCCAGGATCCAGACTACGTTGAAGGATAACATATCAACGGACTGTACGGGAGATTCCTGCAGACATGTTATTTTCTGCTGTTGTCCATACTGTGCACAGAATGCAATATGTGGTCCACAACAACGGCAGCCACATTGAACCTCATTTGAATGCAAAATAAAAGGCAATTTCCGTATTGATTTGCATTTGTTAACACTCCATTTTTTATTACACAGCGCCAAATATTCCCCTAGCGGTGACTTTTGGAACTAATTTGTTTTTTCGTGGAATCCTTAGTCCTAGTCTTGTTTAATCTTTCTACATGTGGCGTCATTCTCGCGCTACAGAACACTGTGAGCACTGTCAGTTTAATTATGGCCACCCGGTATATATATGTGTGTGTGTGTAATATTGATTATTGGGCAATAGCTGCAATGGACTGGAGATGGTGGCTTAGTAACGACATAGCAAAGGCATTTCTGCATATATATAAAGATGACATTTAAAGATTTGTCTCAAAACAATTTTATTTCTTGATAAAGTAAGCCTTGAGATGCATAATCAGGTTCATACATTAGAATGGGTGCAATATCCACTTTATCTTCATAACTTTCTTTGAAAATTGCATCTTAGACAAAGCAGAGAGCTGAGAAGTATGTATTAACAGCAGCACAAAAAGTGGGGAAGCAAGTATACATTCAGCAGCGGTTGATCTGTGATTGGATTAAAGATCACAATGCTACACAGTACATAAGACGGCATGATGCAGATTAATTTGAAAATTATGCACTTTAGATTCTATAAACAGTATATTTAAGACAGGAATTAAATTAGCCAATTAAAATGAGAAATAAAAGGGACTATTGTCAACTTAAAGCTAGTAGTTTGCTTTCATATATATATATATGTGTGTGTGTGTGTGTGTGTGTGTGTGTGGTAAGATAAAAAATATGTAAATCAGCTTTATAATTAAATTTAGCAATAGGGTTTTAATTCCTCATTTCTAATTTCAGTATTTCCTCTTTCTGTTCTAATAATAATATTTCTGGACTGCACCATTTCTAACCCTTTATTTCAAAAATAAAAAGTGTATCTTTTGTCTGGAAATAAACTTGATATGAAATTAATAGACTACACCAGAAAAAAAAAAGAGATGGTTGCTTCAGAAATAAAACATGTCATTTACGTCACCTATACTTATGAAAAGTGATTTAAATAGTTAAATATTTGAAACTGATGAAAATGGCATTAACAGCAAACTACATCCATGAAGTATGAAAAATAGTTTGGTTTTTTGAATAAGGCAAAGCATATAAGGACAACTCTCCTAAGAGGAGAGATGCCTTCATGGAAGGCTTTCTAAGGAAAACGGACTCGCATTCATGTTACACAAAGAAAGAACCATAAAAACCAACCACACAGCTAACACATTTCTGTGCATTCGAACCTGGAATGAGCTACTAGCATTCAGCAATCATTAATGGTTCGGCCACTGGTAAGTTTGAAGTCACTAAAAATTAGAGAATGATGACCTAAAAGTATATTTTTATTAACATTTCATTAAAAATGCAAGTAATCTTTATTCAGTTTAAACATGTTTCTATGATAAAAATTCTAATATCTGGTTGTAACAAAATTTTCCACCAAAACACGTTCTTAATAAAATTGGGGGGGGGGAATCATGAAAGCAGTACCTTTAGTGTGGGTAGTAATCACCACACAAATCTATGATTTTTATCATCAGGGCTATAAGGTGGATGTGGCAGAAGAACCCATTCATACAGAGTCTAGCCGGTGAATGCAGACACATGTGGTCTTGCATTTTCTTGATGAAAAATTACCTTTTTGTGCCGGAACTCAGTTCGACATTTTCTTCGATAGCAGCATCAAGACAGAGATAAAACACTCGACAGTAAGGTGTACAACGAGATGATAGCATCTTGTTGTACACCTTACTGTTGAGGGTTTTATCTTTTTCCAGACTTTTTGTGAATAATACCACAGCAATCCCAGCAGATACAAATCATGATTTTTTTGTTAGTCCAATTGCGCTTTGCGACCCTGCTAACGGGCTCACAGGGTGCAGACCAAATCTCTTTCTGGCCTGTGTTGTTAATGTAAATCCACTTTTCATCACAAGTGATGATCCGGTCCAGAATTTTGTTCTTGCTTTGATATTCGAGCAGATTAGTGAGGCCCGAACACATCTGCCCTTATCTGCTTGAATTCTGTGGTTACACATATTGAAGACAAAGAAATTTTTCAATAAGTCAATATTTCCTTTTTGTACTGTGTAGATTAGAAAACATGTATTTCCATTTGTATGTCATTTCCTGTTTGATTTAAAATACAGTTTATTGAAATATTATATATATATATATTATGTTTTATTGCATTATGTTTTGGAGCCATTTTACTGGAAAAGGCACTGGACGTAAACAGGAATGGTGCCAAAAAATCCCCAATTTTCGCCAAGGAGTATCCTGAAATATATTTTTACCAAACAATCTATGACAAGGTTATGGAAAGTACAGTACATGAGATACTATGAGTATTTTCAAACAGTTTTAAAAAATGTAGAATTTTTAAATTGTGTACTGTTGAATATAAGAACTAAATTTTGATAAGTGAAGAATGATGCATAATTTTATTTCCACTCTCCCTTCCCTCATCTCTTACAAAAAGTAAACTACACAGAAATCAGAAATCAACAGTAATATTTGGTTATTTAACTACTGAAGTAAGATGCGTTTTAATTTCACGATAGCATTAATTGTAGTGTGAATATGATTTTTGACTTAACTGACACTTCAGAAAAGCTAAAAATCATCAAATATTTGCAAAAATATTTCAGAGAGACACTTAGGAAACAAATCTTTGTAATGTAATTAATAAAAACATTTCAATCAAATCAAAACGATTCTGAACACAGGAAAATTAACAGCAGTTAATTCAGTTTAGAATGAAATATTATTTCAAAAAGTAATCTTTCAAATAGTTAGGATTCTGAAATATTGTAGAAAAAGAAAATATATACATTTATACTTATAATATGCCGAATGTGTTAAAACCCATACGTTTTAATGATAAACCACTGAATGTTTTGATAAACAAGAGGGGGTATCAACTGCATCAGTTGAGTGGGAGAAACCGGTTAGGGCCTCTTTAATTCCTTCCTATGTGGACTGGCATGTTTTAATCAATTTGTTCACCAGATAATCTCAAACCTTGAGGTTATACATATTTAAGTTTTTTTAATGCTATAAATATGTAATTTACATCTGTTGATTAACTAAATAAATAAAGAACAATCTATTCCTTCAAACCTCTATTAGAATAACTGGTGTATGTTTGACAGGATTTCCACCAAATTTCAAGGCTAACAGGAAAAATATGCAACTTTCTTTTGATTTTTCTTATACATTCAGACATTTTCTACAAAATATGGCTAAAAATATTAATCTTGCTTTCAGACAGCACGACTATTCAGTGCAACATATAACAAATTTCTTAAAAAATACCATCTTTTCAAATATAAGACCTCATATTTTATGATAAACTTTAAGATGTATGAACAAAAATGTAGGTGAATATTTATTTTGCAGTATTTCTGAGAAAGAGAATTTTAATTCCTTACATCAGAATTAAAATGAAAGAATGAATGAAATACACATAGTAAAATTTAAAATATGCAGAAAGCTCGGGAAATGCCGACATCCAGATATTTGACGCTCTAAATAACGGATTTCACACTAGAAAAGTCAAAGGAATGGAAAAAATTTCCATTCTAAAATTATAAAAATTTGAAAAGGATTCAAAACACAAAGCCAGATGTCTGAGTAATAAATCTAAAAAGTTGCAATTATTTAAGACAAAAAGGTTGGAAATAATTCATACGCATGAGAACGGGGAAAAATTATATCACAACATCTCAAGATACAAATTGATCTACTTTGGCAATGAATATAACAGTGAAGGATAAAATATGCATTGCTGGAAAAACATGAGAAGTAATGCTGAAGGGTGCAAACATTGGCCTGATTCAGAGATGTAAAAATTTTTATCCCACCTGGATTAAGAGCCTGATACAGAAACAGGTACAGTTGAGTTTTCTTATTATCCAGGAGAAAGACAAGTATTTAGATTTAGAAGAGAACGCCAGCATCTGAACACTAAGCAGTTTGAAAATGGTAGCAGTCATATCAATCCCAATATATTGTTGCATGCGTTATGAACTGAATGCACAAGTCCGATAAAAAATGAACAAAATTTATTATTATCACAACAAATAAAATAAAATGCTTAAATTTCC